AAACTGGCAAATCAGATTAAGGGTGACGTTATAGTCACATCGCCACCATGGGGCGGTCCAGAATATAATAAAATGGATGTTATCGGGCCGTTAGATTTGTGTGTGGATAAGATTCTGGAAGTGGGGAAAACGATTGCCCCAAAAATACTGTTACATCTGCCAAAAAACCTAGATAAAAATGAGGTTTGTACATCATTCAGTTTAAATATAAATTGTTATTTATTTATGTGGAACAATAATTTATATTTTAAATGGCTATAGTGTTGGAAAATGTGCAACGGAGTTGGTGCCGGCTTACGGAAGATCGAAAATGTGTTTGTGGACAGGTACCTCAACTCGACGTTGCTATATGTCCGATCCAATAATGTAAGTTATAAGTCTAAAAGCATAGTAAAAAAATAATTAATATAGTACCTACCTACTTAATTAATTTAATATACCCGAAAGTACCTGTGCATAACAATATTATAATAATGTATTATTTATGTTCGAAATCATTAGAACAATGCCGTGACAGACGTCGCTCCCAAACCGGTCGACATCCATCTGTATAACTGTAAGTTGAAAATGTCTATATTTAAAAATTGTTATATTATAATATTTATCTAATCAATTAATTTTCTTTAGCATTCCGGAGGAATGAAAGGTATAGTTTAACAACTTACCAAAGTTATTTGATGGATGTCGATGCGTTGGTGAGCAGTCGTCGCGCATCTTTGTGATGTGAATACGGCAAGTTATTATTGGACCGGGCATAATATGACATATCGGGCATATTGAGGAGTTACCTGTTCAAGAACACATTTTCAGATCTGTAGGCCAATCATTCCGTTGCCATTTTTTAATCATTCATCGTTTTTTATTAAGGTTAAGATGTAACAGGATTTTAGGGGCTATTGCCTTTCCACTAGCTTCCAGGATTTTATCATACACACAGCCGACAACCCGATGACATACATTATTTTATATTTTGGTCCACCTCATGATGGCCGCGAAGTAACGCTAACGTCACTGTTTATCAGATTGTCCAGTTTGAAAGAGTCGCCAACAATTTCGTCCATAAATCCGTGACATAGCGCTGGGCCAGCATAATTTTGTCCGGATCAATATCTACAAAAATGACATCCCAACTATTAGAAACTAATAATATAGGTACTTAATATATATTATAATATAATATTAAACCCATTTATACCCAATTATTACATTGCAGTTATTACGATTAAGTAGAAATAATATTTTCAAATAATATTACAGTCGAACAGTCAGCTGTATAAAGTTTCCACTGCGCCACAAAACGGGTCGAGGCCGGTCGCTGAACATGGGAAGTCCTCAAGTCAGTGTCTTTCCAAGTGCACCCAGCATCGTATTTTACGGACCATATACGAGTTCGGCCACACTAGCTTGTCTGAAATGTGATTTTATTGGCTGTTGGACCGGTGGATATGCGGTTAACACTTGTCAGTGTATCACCATTTATTAACACGTGGCTCTAATACACTTGTCTCGCATTCGTATAAAATGTATTAGTTATTATACATAATATTACATATTTACATGTATCACACTATATTATATTATATTATTCTATGATATTATATATTTATACAAATGTAAACAAAGATATATAATCCTATATTATACATGCATATTATTCATGAAAATCTAGTTTGTATAAAATAATTATAATAATATCACATTTTATGTTGTACCAATAAAAAAATATGTATGAAAACAAAAGGTTTATTTAAAATATCTATTCTATTACACCCTGTATATAGCTATTATTAGGGCTCAAATTATATATCTATTTATATAACCAAAGAATGTATTTATATACAACAAAAATATGTACATAAATATGGCCAAAGAATTAAAAATATGTAAGTATTATCAAAAAAAAAAAAATAATCAATTGCTATCGATTTTTTACAAGCAGTAAGTACAATACAAAACGTGGCCTTCACTTTTTAAATGTTCATATTTGGATATTCAGAAACACATTTTATTGCTTTGCAAGTCTTAGACGATCGTACTTTTGGCATAACATATTGGTGATAAGCATGTAAAATATAACGAAAACTGAGGCCACGAAACTCACACTACGATGTCACATTAAAAACTAAAGCAGTGTTCGCTCGTTCGTGTCCAACGTGTTTAAATATGTGTTAATCGTAATATATTACGATAAGATATCTCATATTTCAAAAATCGTATCTAGAAATAATTGAAAATATAACAGGTTGAGTTCGACGGTCGTTTGTCACCGAGGAACCCTTATTTAGCCAAGTCAAAAATACGTCCAGTGGACCTGAACTCTGAAGAGAAGACGCTAAAACAGTAAAATTGTCTAAATATGTGAAAAAAATTGTGAAATATGTAAAAACATGTATTTATGACGAAATATATAAAATAAAATGTAGCTCATTTTATCAAAATCTTGTGAAACGAATTTATCACTCGCCGAAATTAGTTTATCATGTCGCAGAGAAAATATGTATTTAGATATAAATCCGAGCCCTAGTTATTATAATATTACCGAGGATTTTCTGAGCTCTTGAGCCCAAAATTGTTGGTGGAAATAAACAATCATCTTCTATGTATAAGTAGGTATGCAATATATAGGTAATAAGAAAATAACCATCCTATAATCTATATTTGGATATATAGATACAAGTTCAACGAATGCATTTTCGATGTCATGTGGTGGTACGAATTGCAACCCGAAAAATAGTCTTAACCATATTCCTAACTCGTCGCAGTAGGTATAATAATATGCTGTTCTAAGTTGCTGCTCCGAATTTATCTGTAAAGTAAGGTAATACATTTAATATTATAATTTTACTATGTGTATATTTATAATATATTTTAAGCATAATCTTCAATGATTTTTTCATAATTTAAATGTTCTCGGGCTCTTTTTATAAAGCCAAGCCAGGAAGACGCTCTTGGGACGTGATACTTCTCAAATAAGTTTCTATAAGTTCTAACTTCTGCGCTAGCTGAAGTTATTAGAATAGCTAACATATTTGTTCTAAGAGCCGCGGCTGAGTTTGGAAAAGCTGAATTGCTTTTTTTTATAAAATTAAGTAGGTACTTCAATAGGAGTTACCGATTTATCGAATAAGTTTTGGCAAATCAAAATTCCTTTTTTTTGTGAGTTGTATGCGTTTTATCTATATTACGCGTGCGTCTGAGAGAGAAAACACAAATTGCGCTGACATCGTCTCTTATAGTTAGTCTTTCGAGAATTTGCAACTACAAGTATTTATTTAGGGGCCTCAAATTTGTCCATTACTTTTTAATTATAGGCTATAACACTACATAAATCACATAAAAAAATCGATGATTATTTAGCGAGGAAAAAAGCTTGTAAATTATAATTTACTAGCTGATCCAGGGCACTCCGTTGCTCGTTAAATGTACCAACTCTTTATGACTCAAACTCTGTTCAATTCGTTATTTAATATTGGGTGTATGGTGTTCAAAACTTATCTTAACTTTTTCGTTGCCCAGAATAAAAATTCTGATTCGCAGCAGTATATTAATATATATTAATATATATTATATTAGTATATTAATTATCAGGTAAGCAATCTACCTGTGGTGGATCCCGGACCCCGTGCTGTTTGTACGTAAGTGTATGATTTAACTCTAGAGTGTCAAAGACTAAAGTTATACTAAGTTTATCGTTTTTACTTAATTCCACTTACGGTGGATTAATATAATCTTTTTTTTTGAAACATACCTACTTATTTCAACATGTTAAGAACGGTGGTCCAAATAAAATGTTGCAGAAATCATTATTTTGGAAGTTATATAGCGATTCGTTTGTATACGCACGAGTACAACACTGTACTTTGGATGAAAACTATATATAGTCAAAATTTGACTTTCAGGCTTAATTTTAAATAGTTATAGCTAATTGAAATGAATAGTATTTTCATATACTGCAACCAGTGCAACCGTAGCTTTCTCGGACAATAAAAATCGAAAACATCCCTCAACTTGTTATGTGAACAACTATACCTACGCATTGATATACCTATAATACGTATTTGTAATCAAATACGATATTTTTTAACCATAAATTATTTTTTACCGTAATGAATATATAATTAAAAACGAAATAGTGAAAACTCTAAATACCGGACACTCTATATTCAAAGGGTTCAGTTCGAAGGAAGCTTGTAGTCGGTTCCTAAGAAAACGTCAGCTATTTGGAGGTGTCCGTTAGAACAGGTTTCATTGTATTTTTTAGTCATAATTGTATTTGTATTACCTATACATTTAATGCTATATTTTTGTACTTGCGATATGCCACGACTGCCACGACATTATATTATTATTTATTATAATATATGCACTCGTTCTTTATATAGAAATGTAATTAATTATTTTTGTTTCACAGGTGAATCTATAGGTAGTCTACTGGGCGGATATTTATTCGATACATATGGCGTAGTGTGGTCGTTTCGATTTTTCTCCTATATGTCTGTTCTGATGTGCTTTCTGAGCATAGTAACCAATTATTTTGGATTGACAAGGGAATCTTCTCTCTACCTATTTGCTCCTTCAAACAATTACAGTCAATTTCGTCAATCAGACTGTAAGATAGTAAATTAGTTCATCATTATTTAGGTGTAAGATTTGGAATTGGCGAACAACATTCTTTCACTGATACTTATAGCTTTGGAACGTCTTCATTTTATTGACAGTCAATATTGTATTTCTTTATTAAAATCTTCTACAATGTATATTGTTTATCTTTAAAAAACTGAAACGTAAGAACTAAACTATCGAATCTAATTTTTAAGAATTTTTCAACTTAATAATATTTTATGCTCTGGCTTAAATAAAAAAAAAAACAAGTTGCTGATTTATTGTAGAATATTTATTTTTATTTACACATTTTTATGCACATTATCAGTATGGCATGCATATGTTGCGAATTATTGGATTGGACTATTTTTTTTTTTTTTTTTTTTTGAAATATACTATCACAGTTTTACTTGACCGGGCATCGGTTGGTTATTAAATACTGCAAAAATATTATCGATAGTTAGCTGTGCTTTTTCCATAGCAGCTTCAATAGTGTTTCTTCCAGCAATATGAGGTAAAATAACTATAAAAAAAATTAAAACACAAATTGAAAATAATAATTACGCATAGGTACCAATACATATTATATAATATATTATTTTTTTTTTGTAGAAGTTATAGTTTTTAAGTATGCACTAATGTTGTTATGCTATAATCTTTAATTAAATACCAAAACAAAACATCAGATACCTAAGCATCATTCCAAATATTAATGATTATACATATTATACTTTATTATTTCAAGTACATATTTTATGTGGGCAGGGTTGGAGCATAGTTTAAATACATAATATGTGTACGTAAGGCGTATACATATACGATTCTACGTATCAGCTCAATCACTCGAAACTGTCGTTTCTGGGTTTAGCAAAGACGCTCAAACACGTGGTTTTATAAGCCCAATAAAATGTAATTTCAAAAGATAATAAGTTATAAAAATTGTTAAAATATTAAGTTTTATTTTATGCAGGCTAATTCTAACTATTACAATAATATTATAGCCAAATTAAGTTCAAACTTTAGTTCCTAAGTTCACAAATAAATCAAAAGTATCTATCCAATATCTTAATTTTCGTTAAAAGATATTTATTTTGTTTCAACTTTATCCTTCCAATAAGAATTTATCAACATATTTTTATTGAAATTATTTAAAATGGAGGTTTGTTACAAAACATCATTAAAATTAAAATATACTTATAAGTTGTAACATACAAAAAATTGCGTAACAGAATATTTTAGTTTTATTCATAAATTTACAAGGTTGCACAATTTATTTTGAATTACAAACATATATACAAACAGATATAATATGCTTATATATACAAAACAGTCACCCAAAATTAAAATCCAATTATGCAAAAGCATATACAAATTAGTTCTGAGCACTTAATCAGGATCACTCCATATTCGAATTACCTATCCCGATTGAAAAAAAGCGTTAAGTTAAACGCTATAAATTACCAATTCGGATATAAATTCTGACTGTAATTATTACCAATACAGATAATGCTATAAATCCGGATTATGATTATCAATCTTAATAATAATGACGCATTAATATTATTATAATGTTATTTTTATTTTATTATTGATTTTATTTTTATTAAATATAATAAAGAATATTTTCCCACTATTTCATAAATATTTTTTTAGTTTAATATTTAAATGTGTATAAAATAACTAGCTGGTCCCTGCGCACTACGTGGCCCACAGAAAATGGCAACGCTTAAAAAAATTGCGATTGTTCAACTCATTTTGTGTGTACCTAACTCACTGCAGTAAGTGCAACTCAGCCACCCTGGTAGGCAATGTGCAAAAATTGATGTGATGCATGCTTGTACCGGATATGCCCGATTAACAAATGGTCAATGACAACCAATAATAAATAAATAAATATAATATGTTATCTATTAATTATTTCTCCTATAACCAATAGCGACCATTTAAAAACAAACATTTTCACAGTAAATCTCAAAATCCCTGTTTGAGCACCTCCCCAGGCTTCTATTAATTTGTCGTAGCGTGATGTTATATAGCCTATAGCCTTCCTCGATGAATATAAATAATTTTTCAATTCGAATCAGTAGTTCCTGAGATTAGCACGTTCAAACAAACAAACACACAAACTTTACAGCTTTATGTATTTATAAATATAGAATGTGCACATTTGTCTTTTACAACTCTTTAATTAAACATTTTAAATGTTACAGTCTACAGGTTCAGTACCTATCTATAGTTTCTAGTGTACCTTAAAAGAACTAGAGATAGAAACTTTCTCGTTTCTACATTTTACCTCTAGTCCATTTTAGTCTAAATGTCTAATTCATGGATTCGATTCAAGAATACGGAAGATGAATCAAAAATTTTGATGGTTGAATTGTAATCCGGATAGCGAATTGGTCAAAATATTTCTCAATGCTAATACAAATTAAAACCTTAATTTATAACAGTTTATAAAATGGACTATGGGACCGACGGCTATAGGCCGTCATATAATTTATAGAACAACATTTCTTCCGAATGTCTTCATGGTCTTTACGTGAACCTTGTGTTAAATAATTATTTATCACAACTAAAACTCAATTCAAAGAAATTCTTACCAACGTTATTCATTGTCATCAAAGGATGGTCCGGTGGAAGAGGTTCTGGAGTCGTTACGTCTAATCCGGCTCCACGAATACGTTTGGTCCGTAAAGCATCGACCAAATCATCTTGGTTGATTAATTCTATAAAATAAAGTGAATCAACTTAACAGTGTTAGTTTCACATATCGACTTAATTTTAACTTTTAAGATTGTATATAGATGAACAGTAGTGAAAATTGGTATTTGGATATCGGAAATATTATTATATTATGTTTTGACTATATGAATAATTGTTGATACTTCGAAGTTCATTATGTTTATATTTTAAACCTAGATAGCCTAAAAACGAATAAACCAAATGTTAAATACGAGCATTGGTAATACGGATATATGCTGTACACCGTTAGAACAATCATCTGGATACTAGAATTCGGGTACCTAATGGAGTGGGTACCTAATCTGGATTTGTACGACCAAATATTAGCTTCTTAATTTTTTTACACGAAACCAAAATAGAAGTTGGTTTGTATAACATAAAGGTTTATTAAAAAAATAAATAAATAGGTTGTTAGGTATGTCACAAACTCACAACTAGAATAAAATACAACTTTATTTTTGAACATAATCATGACATTCTGGTCATGACTTTTTGATTCAATCATTGAAATATAGGTAAATTAAAGTTGTGGAAATGATATTTTAACATATTAATATCAGATTGAAATTAAGTTCACGTTTCAAACTTCAGTTTTTTCTTTTTTATCAGAGACCACACACCATTCAAATTGTATTATAGTTATTTCCGAGTTCTTGTGCATAATTAATATAATCATACCAACACGATAATATTATTATGTTTATAAATTATAATGATAATATTATAGGTTCCTGACTCGTACTAATGTTATATATTACTATTTACTTGTTTCTGTAAATAACAGCTATACTCACTGCCACGACCCACATTGATTATCACAGCGTTCGGCTTCATGAGTGCCAGTCGATCCTTATTTATGATATACATAGTTTCGGGCACCAAAACCGTGGCCAAAATAATGTAATCGCTGCGTCCAACTAAATCGTTGATCGACACCAATTGTCCTCCGAGACATTCCACTGATGGCACATACAAATAAAAAAAAGTGACCATTCAAACCGACCAGTATTTTAAAATAGAAATTGTTTCGTCCGCTCTCTTACCCTCGGGCTTTGGTTTACGACTTGTGTACAGCAGTTCACTCAATTTGAACCCGCTCAGCAATTTTGCCACCGCAATGCCAATGTTTCCACAGCCAATTATGCCGACTACGGAATTCGTTAGGCCCGTACCGAGTGATGTTGGCAATTTACCTCTAAAATCGTACGAATGCTTATCATTGTTATTAATATATTATTAATTTATAATTATACACTGCTACAGCTACTACACTAGTGGTACCTAAACACCTAATACTGAATACCTACAGGTTTAAATAAAGTCAATTAAATCGAATTTTAAATTGTACATTTTGTTTGTATTACATTAATTGCTGGTTGTATTATTGGAGAAATGAATGACTAACTATATAAATTGTAGTACCAATTTAGTATTTATCAGTTAAACAATTTTAAAAAATCAAAACTTTTTCTTTCAACAAAAATCGTTTACATATAAAAACAATAATATATTTTTCATTTGCGCTGTAATCGTTCAATAGTATTTACTATAGGTAAGTAAAAATTAAAAGTATACTACTGATGTTTGAATCGTACGATTTCATCTGTTGGTTTGCATCAAGAACATTTCTTGCCGTAGCGATTAACAGACCAATTGTGAGTTCTGCGACTCTATCCGTAGTGGCGTGTACAGTGTTCCCCAATACGATTCCTCGTTTCTTCAGTGCATTTGTGTCTACGCATTCATAACCCATAGATGTTGAACTGATAACCCTGAGACTAGGACCTACAATTATTTACAATACATTTTATCATTAATATTTAGTATATTTCTTTCAGACATTTATATTATGTGGATTTATGTTAATGATTTTGTTTTGTTATAGTAATATTTCGACATTAACCACTGATAAATTTTTAATAAATATTTATAGTAGCGTATTTTACTAGATATGATAGAACTTTTGAAATATTTTGGATAATGTTGTGCTTTTTATAGAAACCTATACAAAATGTGCGACTTTTTTTAATTTTTGTTTTTTATGCATGATAAAATATTAGTTTATCAGATAAAAAGACTAGACATTTAATACGAAGTTCCTAATAAGTTTTTCTTATGAAAATGAAAAAAAATACCAAAAATAATAACAATTTTCTTTTTAAAACGTTTAAGCTTACATTTTTAATAAGTTCGTCGAATATATTTTGTAAATAATTTTCAAAATTCATAAATTTTAGATTCTGAGCGGAGCAATAAATTTGTAAATTTTACACTGAAGTATATTTTTATAAAAAAATATTTTATAAATTTTCTAATATTTTTTCTTATTTTTTTCTTATTTAAAGTTTTAAGTAAACTTGAAAAGTTTATAAAACGTAAATATTACAACTTTTTGCATAGTGGGTGTCATCACTCATCACTGTTTGGGGCAGTAAAACGGCATAGATTTTCTTGAACAGTATCTTGTTCGATGGGCAATTGAATCTAGTTGGTGCATTCAGGAAGTCAAAATTTAACCTACCTAACCAATTGTTTTCAAATGAGGTCATAATGTGGAAGCCAGATCGAAAAATACCAATAGGACGACCAAGACAGAGGCGGAGTGACCGTGTCAAAGAAGATCTGAAACTCCCAGGAATCAGGGATGGAGAAAGAAGAGCATTGGCATAGTGGAAGCGGCGATGGGTCTAAATGGCCCGGAATAAGCCTAAACAATTTGGTAAAATTCGGTGAAATTTGCCATGTTACGCACTTGTAAGACGGAGGCAACACATGCGGGTATCACGTCCTCTTAAGACAATTTTTCATGAAATTTTGTATATAATATATTATTATAACTCATTACTTATACTAATTTAAAATACACATTACATACAATATAATATAATGTACCTATTGTTTTTATTTTAAAGCAGGCACCTACATTAGTTTATTCTTTTGAACGATTAATTCTAGTGAAATATTAAAATATTAAATAATTATATATATAATTTTTTTCAGAATATTTAATTTACCTGCTGTTTCGATCAAATGTTCGTCTATAGGTATTTTACACCCAGATATAATCAATCCAAATGTACCGGGAATGTTATCTAATAGAAGTTGATAAGTGCTACCGACCATGGGTTTGTTGATTATTTTTACGTAAAACCTATAATTCAGTTTTATAATATTGTATATTAGATTTAATAATTACAATATACATAATATCGTTGTGTAAATACTAAATACAACAACATACAAACATGGTTTAAATTAAATATAATAAGTATACGTTACGTTTCCATCAATTTGGCAATGATTGCTGGTGGAAAATCATTGTGCGACAATAATATCTTGGGTTTCGACATATTTGTGCTGAAATCGATAAAATTCACATTTATTAATTTGGCTGCTACTTTTAAATTTAGTTGTATCGTTGTTCTTAAATTAATCATATACCTACAACATAAACACAAGGTAGTGGCTGGCAACAGTAAATTATATTCACATTCGTCAATCGTAATTAAGATAATATGTAAACAGAAAGCCATTAGTTGATATTTTCTAGAATTATTTACGCATCATAGAGGTTATCTTTTTTTTTTTAAAACTGTACTTAATACTCATGCATGTAATAGTACTCGAGTACATACTAACAATCATAATATTATTTGATTAATTATTTAAACAAGCTGACATTGTACCCAATACATTAGATACAATTACTTAAGCATAACAAAACAAATATTATTAGTTTCAACTACCTATTTAATCATAGCGTACGTCATAATATTGACGAAATTCTTATCTATACAAATTATTTGAATGTTGGTCATGTTATGCAATTTTATCTAATAAAAAGAGTATAAACCTAATTTTAGGTTAGAAATAATATCATTATATTCATACTTATAGAAAAGTAGGTACCTATTTAATAAGTACATAGTATATTATATACATTAATATTGGTTTTTTGGTTCCTATGGCATGGGGGGAGAGTAACTATAGCTATTATGAACTAGGTATGCAGTTTTTTCACTCTAATTCTTTCTTAGGTACCTAATAAATTATTAATATGGATATACCAGCTACCTAGTAATAGTTAAAGTGCATAGATCAATACTTTTATACTTACTTGAAAATCGACAGTTAAAAACGTGAAATCTTTTATCTTTAAAAAATGTATAATTTACCTATTTAATGTGTTATCTAAATTTAATTTAGTTGATTTTGTGATACTATATCACCTTAAAACGCCTATTGGCAAAATAAATTAACACCGGAAGCGCTGTTGACGTCTGTCGTGCTGATACGCTATCCCTCCTTACGCGTAGTCGGCATACTAATTAGTAATATTACGATTAACAGCTTGCGTATATATTTTCCGGCCATTTCATATACGTTTTGCTTTAATTGAAGTGTATTTGGATGCATTTGATAATATTAGTAGAAATTGTACTTATCAGCGTATAAAGTTTCAATATTAAAATAACAATTTAATATTCAATAAAAAATTTACAAATTTAATAGTACATTTCGAATTTATATTTTCTAGTAATTTTTTATTCTTCCCTAACATCCATGTACATCATGCTTAATCTTGAAAATAATCATTGAATACTTTTTTTTTTTAATTATTTAAACTCAGTCAAATTTGAAACAATTAAATAAATAAACCATTTCCAACTTAATTATAAAGTATGAAATATAGGCTAAATATTCTCTAATCTCCAAAATATGCTTAAATAGGCAAAATAAATGTTTTTCTTCGAATTCTGTAATCGTTAAGTCTAGTGTCTACCACATATCTTTTCCTAGTTACCTAAAAATCCACTCTCTATAGAATCCCAGAATCATTAATCATCACCTTTTAGATCAGTTCCAATGCTCCAATTGTCTAAATGGAGGGTGCAGGTTTCCCTTAGCAAGTTGAGTCTTGTTAATACCTACCTCAGAGAGAAAAATATTAAAAGTTCTAAGTATTTTCAACATAATCGGGAAAAAAATTAACAAAAAACAAGGGAAAACGGAAATACTCTTACACAAAATCAGATTTTGTTTTATTGTTGGAATTCAAAAAATAATTTTTCATCAAATCTTTATTTAAAGTCTCAAAAATACAAATTCACAATTTTTTTAATAAACACCAAGTTCAAATTTTTTTATTTGATATACTAAAAAATAAAAATAAAGGTTTTAGTTTTTTTGTCGTGATTCAAAAAATATTTTTCGTATTTCATAGTGATTTGTAGCTTTATCTATTAATGCATATTATATATTTTACATACACATTGAAATTTTCAAAATACTTAAATTTGTTTTTGACTAAAATCCTGACAACCTATATTGTATTGCTCATAGAAAAATAAACTACTTATAGTAATACATATTATATGATATAAATATATAATAAAATATCCTTAGTATGGACTGAATGACTTCGTTCAGAATCGTTTTTCATTAAAATCATATATATCACATCCATTACAGTGACCTATAATATTGTGCCTACTTTGCAGCAAATCGATTTTTTTTATATATATATATATTATATATATATATAATATAATAAATTATTTATTATATTATATAGCTCAAAACCCATAGCAACCATTTATAAACAAAAATTTCAATCGGAAATCTCAAGATCCCTGTCCTCTCCCTTTTTAATGTAGCCTATCTATATGTATAAAAATAGCTGACCCCGTGCACTTTGTTGCCCATCAAATATGCCAACAATATATGATTAATATGTTTTACATATTACCATGGCAACCATTTATATATAAAAAAATTTCACCAGAAATCTCAAAATAATATATAAATGGTTGCCATGGTAATATGGACACACAGACACACAGACAAACAGACACACATTCATTTTTATGTATATAGATTATAATACAATTTACAGTAAAGTTATGAAAAAATAAAATTTTTTCTTTTGAACAATTGGAAATTATAGTCGGGTAAAGATGTTTTTGTTTTGTTTTTGAGTGGCAATTATTTTCTTTAAGAATCCGTAAAAATACATCAATCTACTTTTTCAAAAAAATAACAAAAAACGGGAATACTTAGACAAAATAGATTTTATTTTTTGCTGTAATTCGAAAATGTAAAACCGTACAGAATTGACATTTTCAACAAATATAATATACAATCATTTTCTAACCATAATATATAATTGTAGACTCCATATTGTGCTATTCATATTAATATATATTTAAAATACTTTTGCTTAGTAGCATTACCGGAAGCAATAAGGTGTTGTATTGTATAATATTAATATAGCGACTCGACTTACGATCAATAATAATATTATTACACTCACATTATCCACAGTCTAGTCCGTCCGGCTTATTGTTTCGAGAAGTACCTCTATAAGACTATTGTGGTGTTGCGTTATTATTACTATGATTATTATTATTATTATTATTACGTTTGTGTTTATAAAACGTACTGTTCCACGATGCAACACATCAGCTGAAGTGTCTCGTTGGTCATTAATTTCAGCTCGTCACGGTTCGTTCGGCGGTCATCCGTCATTACGTTTCTATTCCCCAACACGATAGAATGATCACTAAGCGTGAAATATTTCACAACTTCAAAGTACTCGAAATTATTATTAATATATATAAATGTGTGTTTGTGTGTGCATCGTGCGACTACGCGTTGTGCGGCCCCCTCCGACCGTGTCTGTCGTCGTTTATAGCCGCTGCAGAGCTACCGGACAAGGAAACCGCGTTTGAGTGTTTGACGGAGTTTTTTTTAACTCTTTTATTACTACCCACCCAATATTATGTCTATCTATTATTCAAATGAAATTAGAGCATACCGATTTTGAAAATAATATTTTTATATCGCACTGCCAATACGTTTGTACCTACTTGGATTTTGCAAGCGTATAATATGTTCATATAGGTAGTGCCAGTGCATACAATTTACAACGATTGTGGCAACGTTCCTTCATGTCAAGAGTGAACAGTATGTATTGAGGATAATATGATTAGGGTGTGTATTTACTATTTTCTAAAAATCTCATTTTAGACGATTATGAAGCTAACAAAAAAAAAAAAATAAAAACAATAAATGTTCAGACAAGTAAAATTAAAATCAGCTTATGTATAAAAATATAATATAAGGTACAATTAAATAGTCAATAATGTACCATATAATTATAATATTGCTGTACGTGCGTATGTGAAACATAATTTCACTAAATTTTTGACAACGAACTTTTGAATATTTTTAGGTCAAATATCTCAACTTTAATGTTTTTTCATAAGATCTGCTTCCGAATGTTAAGAGAAGAAATGGATCCCAGTCAATTTAGCCTAACAAAGATTTAGACTATAAATTATTATTGAAGTAGTTGGTAAATTCTCGTATTATAGTGTTCTATTACATTTGACTACATCTATATTATAGTTCTGCACCTATGAGTTGGCGTGATTGGGTGAAATTATATGTAACTATTTACACATTTACCTAATTCGCGTGGCCTTGAAGGGCGTATTATAAGAGTCAAGCAGTCCAATAACGACAAAATCTCCGTCCCCACAACGGTTATGAGTATTGGTAGATACTACAGCTGCAGCATGTGAAGTAGATAAATATATATTATAAAAACATAACACGAAAACCACGTGTTAAGTTAAGTTTTTTTTTTCTGCGGCCTGGGGTGGAGTTAATATTGACACGTATTAGGAGCTGACACGATTTATACAAATAACATGATGATAATATAATATTATTACTATTATAATATTATATCGTCGTCGAACGGGAGCAGCTACTGTTGCACGGCCGTCGCGCTGTAAAAGGCGGGCGACGGTCTCGAGCGCACACGCACACACACAATATTATTATACATTATACACACGAGCCTCGTCGTGTAATAGTGTCGGAGCGGTGTCAGTGGCGGCGGAGGGGAAGTGGCGGCGGCGGCGGCGGCGGCGGAGTGCTTTTGATGCTGTCAAGCCAGTTGGCAGATGCTGAAAAGAAGGTTTGACAGGTGATTTATCATAATGTTTTGAAGTCAGCGTGACGTGGCCCCGGGGCTCTCTGTACTCATTTGTCACTGTCGCCACCGCCGCCACTACAGTATGTGCCACCGCCGCCGCCACTACTACTGCCACCACTACTACTACAACAACTACAACTATTACTACCACCACTACCACACTTCCATTACTACTTCCACACTGCACTGTCCGTGACGACTATAAGCTACGAATGTGTGTGTGTGTGTGTGTGTGTGTGTGTGATGAGTGCAGTGAGAGAGGGCCCCCCAAACCCAAGACGGACGCGCGCGCCGTTGCGTACGAGAGCGGCTCGTTAACTCATTTTTAATGACATGTCAGACAGGTTGTTTTTATAACCGGACCGCCTCGGAGAGACGGCGGCGGTTGCGTATAATACTCGTCCGAGGCTCTGTGCACGCGCTCGTGTGTGTGTGTGTGTGTGTG